CTCATAGGTGGCTTTTTGCTTAAACTACCCAACCAAAAAAATTCGTTTTTATCGTTCGCTTAACTCGAAAGTCGGTGCATAGGTGGCTTTCTGCTTAAAAGGGAGAAGGAGAAGAAAAGTCTTCCAGTGAAGCAGGGATTGACATATTCGAAAAAAGTTTTTTTATTCATGGATTTACTTGAAATTCAGTACTTAATTGGGTTTTTACTAAGATTAACATGAAGAAGGAGAAGAAAAGTCTTTTAGTGAACCAGTGACTGACCAATTCGACTAAAATTATTTCGATCTTCCTGCAGTTTTGTACATGGTTGGCTTTTTGCTTATATTATATTAGCAGAAAGGCTACTCTTCTCTCCGGCTAGTGGACTGGAAGTGACCTATTAAAAAAAATTATTTGGTGTTTGATTTTCTCGAAAAATTGTGCATAGGCGGATTTGTTAGTTTTTTAGTTTTATTTGAAAACTAGATAGCGGCAGAAATACACATTACATTTATTCTTTAAGCTATATATATTTATATATGTCTTATGTAGTTAACAACAAAAACAAGCTTCACTATTAAATTGTACCTCACAGCTAAAATAAAGCAATACCAAAAAAATTAAAAAATTTAATTTATTTTAAAGAACAAAACTAAAATTGTATGTAAATTAATATTTAGTAGGATACTGTCTATGTCTGCTATTATTCGTATGAAAGGCATGGACAGTTGCAAATAATCACGAATATTTAATTTTGAGGCACTATGCAACAAACTTCTTTTTAAAATGTCCAAATACACAGATTTATCCATAGTACCATTGATGAAATCCAAATTTCCAACTCCAGAAATCAACACGCATCCCCATATATTTCCATGCCCTCAGAAACTTTCTTCTTTATATAAATGGTCCTTTCCAAACTTCAACCTTGCACTTTGCTTTTTAGCACCGACACATAGTTTATTTCGAGCTATGCGGCCATTGCAATCAGCTTCTCTGGGGATTTTTGGTATGGTTTCTGGGTTATAGTGTTTTCCAAGATCGTTATCACTTCTTTGCCTAAAGCTGGAGCACCACTTGGGTTTCCGTATAGTTTCCGTACAATCCATCGAGAATAGCTTCCGTTAAATATTTTATTATGAGCCGTTTTAGTTCTATTTAACAAACGACCTTCACCATTTCCGCGATTTTGCGCTGACTTTTACCATCTTTATAATGTTTTAGGCTTAGTTCTCGCACTTTAATACTTGTTTGGTGACCCACTTCGATTCACGCTCAACCAATGTCAATACTATAATGTCAAAATTTTCTCATATTATCATCATCATCATTACATCAAGTTTGCTCGCGATTATAGCGGTATTTATTTTGCATTCATGAACCGTCGACAAGACACAGCAGGACAAGAATAACAGGAAGGATAATTTTCTCTCTCCTAAGTGGACCGGAAATGGCCTATTCAAAAGAAAATATTTATGGTTCGCTTTATTTCTAATTCAGTTCTTCTCTCAGGGAAGTGAGCCAGGGACTGCCTTATTCCAAAAAAATTATTTATGGTTTCATTAACTGTATGTTCGGTAAATAAATACCATTAACAGGTAGGAGGAGAAGAGTAGTTTTCTCTTAGGGAATGAACCAGGGACTTATAAATTCCAAAATTTGCCTCTATGGTTCGATTTACACGAATATCGGTACATAGGTGGGTATTTGCTTAAATTAATGGGAAGTCTTTTCTTTCCTCCTAAGTAAAATAAACCAGGGACGGAACACCTCAAAAAACCATCTTTATGGTTCGGCTTATATGAAATTCGGTAAATAGGTGGCTTTTTGCTTAGTTTATAGAAATACCACTTTCCTCTCCGGGAAGTGGACCAGGAGCTGATCTATTCGAAAAAATCGTGTTTATCATTTGGTTCACCTTAAATTCCGCGGCTTTTATGTGGAAGAGCAGGACAACAACTGGAAGTGGAAATGGAACCGACATATTCGAAAAATTTGTGTTTGCCATTTGAGTTATTTGAAAGTCGGTGCCTAGGTGTCTTTTTGCTTAGATGACCAGGAGAATCACTCTTCAATCCGGCACTAACATATGCGGAACAATCTTTTTTATGATTCGACTTGCTTGAATTTTGTTATATAGTTGGCTTTTTACATTGATTAACAGAAGGAAGGAGGAGAGTAGTTTTCTCTCCTGGGAAATTTACTTTATGGTTCGATTTACACGTACATATTTGCTTAGATTAACATTAAAGCTATACTTCTTTCAGAGAAGTAGACCTGGGAATGACGAATTCATAAAAAGTAGTTTATGGTTCCCTTTACGAGAAATTTTGTACTCAGGTAGGATTTTGTTGAATTAACAGGGAGAGTACTCTGCTCTTTGGAAAATGGACCAGTTGCTAAAATTTGCGAAAAAAATCTTATTTATGGTTCGATTTGCTTGAAATTCGGGACATTAGTTGTGTTTTGCATAGACTATCAGAAAGACTACTCTTCTCTTCGTAAGATGGACCCCTTACTGACCAAATCGTAAAATTTCTACAATATTTATCGTTCGATTAACTTGAATTTCGCTGCATAGTTGGCTTTAAGGTAGAGGGACAGAAAAGGCACTCTTCTCTCCGTGAAGAAAAAATTATTAATGGTTTGTTTAGTTGAAATTCGGTACTTAGGCAATTTTTTGCTTAGGCTAACAGGAAGACTTCTCGTCCCTCCGTAAGGTGGACAAATTTATGACCGAGTCGAAACAAATGTATTTATCTGGTAACCGGACCAGGGACTGATTTATTCAAAAAAATTTAACGGTTTGATTTACTTAAGTTGCGGTAAATAATTGCCTATTTACTTAGATTAACAATAAGAAGGATGCCGCGGTAACCGAGTGATTAGCCTTGCTTACTGACATTCGGAAGGCTCGGGTTCATATCCCGGTGCCACCAACATCCAAAAGTTGTGGAAAATTAATTTAAATAAAAAATGAAATTAAATTTTCTAATCCCGGGCGCCCCTCGGCATGGAATGTCTACCTCTTCGAGAGTATTTCGGTTTATGAGACCAATTATGTCAATATCTTCGGCGCACTATCGCAGCTGTATCCCCTCATAAAAAATGGTACCCTCTGTTTTCTTTATTGATGGTTGATTTACCAGGTCTCTAACCATACTGATAAAGTTCAATCAGTTTTTGAGCTTCAGTCTTTCACGCAATATGCTTGTGCACCGAATTTGATGACTCTTCTTAACAACCAATTGATCGAAGTCATTAGAAAGATGATAACTAACGGGAGAAGTATGGATATCTTAACTCAGTACTGTTTGTGTGCATTTCAAATATGGTCACCGGTGAAGGGAAAATACTCTATTTTTTAAAATATGATCCACGGTGTGTAGCGCGAGTTGTCGAAAATGTCAATAAGTTAATGGAAGCCATCGAGAATGACATCGGAGCGCTGTTTCGATTATTACATAAAAACTATCGAATTCAAGGTGCATATCACAAGCGTTGATTCGGTGTGTTAAATGAATTTCTTTCAATACATGTGTTACCCAAATATCAAGCTTTTTCACCAGTCCAAGACTTTTTATGTGATTATGAACGGTTGATTTTGGTATATTTAACTTCTCTCCTATCTCACGCTCAGTTACATGACGATCCAATTCGTTTAATGCTTTGATTTGGTCATCATCAACTTCATTTGGCCGACCTGAACGTGACTCATTTTTAAGTGAAAAAGCTTCAGAAGGGAATTTGGGAAACCATTTTTGACACTGTCTTCCTTTTAAGGCTTCATCACCATATACATCTCGTATTTTTTTAGCAACCTGCTCCGCGTTTTTTCCTTTACGGAAATAATAAAGTAAAATATGTCGAAAATGCTCCTTTTTGGGCTCCATATTAAAATTGACGCCAAACAAACAAATGTAAACAAAATTTCGCGCACTTTTTTTCTAAAGCAAGCTAAAAGTAACAGCTGATAACTGACAGAAGACAGAATGCAATTACAGAGTCACAAGCCGTTGAAAAAATTTGTCAGCGCCGGCTATTTGAAAAATCCGCAATTACTTTTTGGGCAACCCAATAGTTTGAAACCACTTGAAAGAGGTTAAATATGCAAAGATGCTCATTTATAACATGTGTTAACGAGAAAAATTCGATTGCCCGAACACGCTTCTGCGAGTCCCTGCTTCATCGCAACAAAATCGCCCCATTTTTAAAGCTGATGGTGACTGATAGGGATAACAAACCACTTATAGTAATTTCGAATGAAAAACGGTCGAGGTCGAAAGGCAGGGGGACGGCACAATTGTCGATTTTGGAGTGAAGATCAACAAGAAGCGTTGCAAGAGTTACCAATGTAGCCAGAAAAAATCATAGTTTGGTACGGTTTATAGGCTGGTGGCATCATTGGACCGTAAATCTTCAAAGATAATGCGAATCGTAACGTAACTGTGAATGGTGAGCGCTACCGTGCGATGATATCAAACTTTTTTTTGCCCAAAATTTAAGAACTTGACTTGCATGATATGTGGTTTCAACAAGAAGGTGTCACATGCCACACAGCACACTTAACAATGGACTTATTGAGAGGCGAGCTCGGTGAACATTTTATTTCATGTTTGGGACTGGTCAGTTGGCCACCTAGATCGTGCGGTATAACACCTTAAGGCTATTTTTTGTGGAGCTAAAATCTTCTGTCTATACAGACAAGCTCGCTTCAATTGACGCATTGGAGGACAACTTTTGAAGTATTTATTCATGAGATACCGGCCGAAATGTTGGAAGGAGTATGCCAAAATTGGACTAAGCGGACGGACCATTTTAGGCGCAGTCACTGTCAACATTTGCACAAAATAATGTTCAAGTATTAAATTATATGGACCGTACTATCGATTCAAATAAAGAGTTCATGCATTTTTTCTGAATTTTATGTGTTTTTTTGAAAAACTTCCCTATAGCTCTTTAAAAAATCACCTTTTATGTGTATATACTAATTTCTTAAAATTTTTTAATACATTTAAAGCAACTTACACGTACACTTTGCGGATACCTGCTAGTAGGATTGGTGATCATAAGTTGCATTACGAACGTCTTTTGAGAGATAACACCACTAATGATTATAAACAACTGTCTACCATTACAAAGGAGGCTGTTGATCGTTTGGTAATGCAATCCGACTTTCGTGACATTTATCATGGTGTGCAGCTGACGGCGTTTTCACCAATCGTTGGCATAATTAAACATATGGAGATTAAAGCAAACGTTGAGCCGACAGGAATATCAGCTAATTTCCTACTACAGGTTAGTTGAATTACAGAAATTTGTTTCAATATGTATTTTACGTCTTTTATAAATTGCAACGAAAACAAACAAGCACTTTTTCTTTATTTTAAATATATTCATCAAAAACAATTTTACACTCTTTTAATAAGTTTTTTATATATGTGAACAGATTACCTCGATCAACATATCGGTTTATGTCTTATTTTTGTAAACACATATTTCTGTCTAGTCTACCAAAAATATATTTCGAACAAACATTAGAGCAAAATAAATAGCACTAAATTACACGCACATTTAAAGTGCTAAGAGCTCTAGAACTCTTCGTTTGACAATTGAATGAAGCAATACATTTTAACACTCTATCTTTCCCTTTTGGTAAACTCAGTTCATCTTTCAACAATGTTCTTGACAACCATTCGATACACGACCCTCTTTCATCAACTTATTATTATTACATCTTACCATACTTCAAGCGCTTTTCCAAACTAGATACAAACTCATTAACTCATCAACAACCCAAATTACTGTCGACCCGATCATAATCAAATTACGCCAACTTCTGACGATAAAGGAATTCAATCCATTGTTTGTTGCCCTTCGAAGATTATGTTTACAAAAACTTTAATAAACTACAGTCATACATAAATGGTTTCTTCAACAACAACACCGATCTTCAAATTCTCTTAAAGAAACTCATCTTGTTAAAAAAAAGTGCGTTTTTTATGCTGTCATTATTTATTATAATTATTTATTATATTATATTACGATTATTTGTTGGTATATTCACCCTCAACAACGCTTGCCAAGCTTAGGCGAAATCAAGGAATTAAAAATAGCATAACTGGAGACAATTAAGGTGAACTAGAGAAGAAAGCCAACCTGCAACAAGAAACCAAATGCTTTTCTCGAAAAACTTACAACAGAAATGAGTCCTCGCGTCTTTGCCGAAAAGATTTGGACCTTCAAATATTAGCAGGCTTACATTCTTAAAACCATATATATGGAATAAGTCATATGCCGTTCCAAACATAAAAACATTTCGCGCATTATCTGTGCAAAGAGCTGATTTTCAGAGCGGATAAAGTCCAAGAACCACACGTCAATCACGGTATCTTAAGTCGTAAACGTATGATCACACATTGTTTTTCAGGGCCTTAATTATTGGCGTTGGCACCGCTTTTGCGGTTATGTGCGAATCAACAATATCACCAATTGACTCTTCTCCTCACTATTCATATATATATATATATATAATTGGAGTTTTAAACTGCTGGAGCGATTTTCCGCAGAGCTCTTCCTACAATTTGTGATTTTTGTGTTTTGATGTTTTTCCAACAATTGGAGGGACCTAATGTTTATACTAAGCCGCCTGCGAACGACTGATAGTTTTTTTAAGAGGATCTTTATTTCATGTCAGAAATACACTCGGAGGGATTGACATTCCCTACCGAGGGGCGACCGCAATTAGAAAAGCTAACTTAATTTTTTTTTTTTAATTAATTTTCTACAACTTTTGGATATTGGTCGCAGGCTCCTGAGTTGCGCACTATTGTATTTATGTGAATACTTTAAAATAAGTGTAAAGTTTTGTAATTGCTAAATAGCAACGAAATTAACATTCTTTTGTCTTGAAAACGGCCAAATTTCCTTCCCCTAAAATATACTTGATGTTTCGGAGACGACATAAAATGATTAGCAACATTGAAATTGGCACAGCGACCATTACGTATGAATTCGAGGTGTTAAAATAGGCGAACGTGTGTGTCGGAATAATCACATGAAAAGAAAAAAATTTAAAAGTACCAACTGAAAGAGAAAACCTTCAAGTAAACTAAAAAAAAATACGTTTTGATATGATTGTGCGAGTGCAGACTTTTAATAACAAAAAGCGAATAACACAATTGGAGATTAATTGAGTTTTACGTCAGTTATCTAATATTGACGCTCCTGTTGCACTCAATCAAATTGACGGCCACATGCGAAACTGTGCGAATGCAAACCGAATTTTTGAAAAAATGGTGAAATAATCCAGTGACAGTTTAAAGAAAATTAAATAGAGGTTCAGACAAAAACGAACCCAGTTCACAGACCGTAATTATTAAAAGGAGGCAAAAAAAACTCTGATGCTTGATTTTGTATTGTTTTTTTTTTTATAAAAATTCAAAACCAAAATGTACTGGCATATTTTACGTCTACAATTCAAGCTTGCGAGAAAAAATACCCTTATAATTTGGCGTTCATCCAGCTTTTTTTGTTGTCCTGGCATATTTTCCATAATATGTATATATATATATATATATATAACACTGACTAACAGTCATTTTTCTGTAGGGCAGATACTTACTATTTAACTTAATTTGCATTTAATTTAATTTTCCATAACTTTTGGATTTTGGTGTCACCGGGATTTGAACCCGAGCCTTCCGAACATCAGTACACAATGCTAACCACTCGGCTACCGCGGCCTCCATAAGGTTCAATTATTTATGACTTAACAAACGAATAATACTTATTTATTTTGTTGCGCTCCGTCTTCCATTTCGGTAAGAATATTATTCTTGTTATTTTACCAACTGGTAGTTATAATTTGACATTACCGAAAAAACCAGTGCTGCCAAAGTTTTGTCAAACAATGTAGCAATGTAGAATACCAAATTCAATTTCGGGTGTTCAAAAACAGTAACGAAAATTATTTTACCGGTAACAGTGAGAATAGACCTTTTATTGTATTATTTATTTATTAAAAATGAAAAATGATAACACATTTATTACAAAACAATTACTATTTCACTGAAAAAGACGACTCATTGCTCTAATAAAATTATATTCTCTAAGAATATTAATATATTAGAAAGTCAAATGTTGGAAAATGTATTCGGGATCCTAACAAATGCATATCGTATATGCATATATGATCTTGACGACAACACTGGTTGGAGGGTGAAAGTTATATAAAATTAGTATATGTTAAATAAAATGTAAGATGAATTCAATAAAATTGTATATTGTATTTTGTATTTAACTACAAATCCTACGTACATGGTCAATTTTACTGTCAGTACATCGATTAATAATTAACTTAAATTAAAATTAGATTAGCTTTCTAAGGCCAGTTTTGAGCCAAAAATCAGCTACCTTGTGGATGTTTTCATGTGAAGGTTCCTTAAGCAGTTCCGAAACAGGATGGTCGCCAAATAATGTTTTTCTAATAGCACTGAGATTCATGCATTCATCGAGAAGGTGCTTAAGTGTAAGCGATGGTGAAGTGCAGTATACGTTGGCTTACTACTGGCTTGGTACTTTGTTAGCGCTCCACATTGTTGTGATATTGTAGTGCAGAATACTATTTCTGCAGAGGAAGGCTTTATGCCTTAACTTTAAATCGTTTGTCAAATGCGATTCCAAGAAAACGTAAGCTAGAAATGTTGATATTTGCAGGAATCGACTTTAACATTTAAAACTTGCTATTTCCAGTTTTCCAGTTTTCATGTTACTGAGTTTTCAGTTTCAAATATTTTCATTTTCTGAGCTATCATAATTTTCATTTTCAAACACACAAGAAGTTATCAATAAATTTTATTAAAAAAATAAAGTTTATCTTCGTTTATGCATACATAGAATTATGAACTAGATGTAAATCGGTACATTTTTGTTTACGGCAAACATGAAAATATTTACATTTATTAAGTGAAAGATTTGCTCCTGAGCAAAACGACCATTTTGCTATGCCAATTAGTATGTTTGGAAATTTATTTTTAACAGTGTTTAAATTACTTATTTTAGAATAGAGTAAGACATCATCCATATAGATTATGTGTGAAATGTTTTTATGTTTGGAAATTATGTGATTAATTTCATCGAAAGCAATAGCAAATAACGTAACAGAAAGGGGGGATCCTTGTGGAAGGAGAGCGTCGATATTTGGAAATATACCACATAATGCGCCTCGGGATAATTTTTTCGAGTCACTTACTCATGCAGCATATAAGCGAAATCGGTCTATAGTCTAAAAATTCTGATGATGGGTTAGTGGACTCGGGTATGGGTACAACTGTTGCGTTTTTCCTGTTTTGAGGATAAATACCGGTAGTTAAAATTTTATTGTATAAATCGATTAATCTTGGTGTAAGCTCAGAAGGCAAGTTTTTTAGCATATCATACGAATTTCTATCGTGGTCAGGAGTTTTTCTTTATAGTGAAGAGATTAAACTTTTGAATTCTGGATACGTGATTTCTGATTCTATTATTTTGGCTTGGTAGTTTGGTTGATTTTAACTGCAACTTATTGTTTCATTTTTCTTTGTCGTAAAAGCTGAAGTAAAGTTTAAATCGATAGAATACATAGACCATGTAGAGGCAAAATGTTCGGCAATCGCCTTGGGGTTAGATACTGGCTCAGTTGGGCTGGTAACCGAATTTTTATGGTATTGAGAATGTGAGCCTGTGAGCATTTTAATATCCGACCAAACCTTTTTATAGTTACAACAAGGATTTATACCTGCGGTAAGTTTTACGAAGCTCATTCGTTTCGCTTTTTTAGACTTTTTACGAAAAATAGGTAGGTTTATATTAAATAAGGTTGGCTTCTGTTCTAGTCCTTTTTGTATTCCCTCCAGTTATCCAGATTTAAATATCTTAAGTTGTTCAGATCGCTTGTCCAGTATGGGACAATTTTTTTGTAAACATTTTGCGGAATTGAAAAGTGCGAAGTCGACCTTATTATCTTGGTGATTTTATTAATGTTTTGAGAGACCGAGAGCTCATCCCAGAACAATATTGCATTTTGTGTATTTTTGGACCAGTCAAAAACCTTGGTTTTGGAAATACCTTGTCAAAGAATGGCGTGGCTAGTTCTGTGATTATTGGGTAAAGGTCTCTGTTACATAAACTGTCGAGTATTCGGCTATTTGCTTTTGGAGCAATACTGATAGAGCAACTACAATATATAGATCGACGTAGGTGATAGAATTATGGGTCAAAAAATGCGTTGAAGAAACCTCGTTCAATACGGTTAAGTT